AGATAATAAACCGCCATCCCTCCCACCCCATGTCCAAAATGAGACCCAGGTAAGGAGTTAGACCAGCAAGGACACAGCTCTTCTCCTCTCCTCTTTCCCATTTATGACAGCAGCCAGCTAGCTGAGTTGGATGAACAAATTAAGAGAGTATTTCTTCTCCCTTCCAGGAACCTGAGGATGTTGAAGGGCTCCAAATTTATCAGACCAGAAGCTGATTTGAAAGCCAGAACCGCAGAGTAGGATTCCAATGACAAGGCACCAGCTGGAAACACAAAAGTCTTTGGGCACCTATACATATGCCCTAATGTGTTCCAGTGAAAACGAAAACGAGCTGTAGCAGACTCAATTAATCGCGAATGCTCTAGCATTGCTGCAGTGCCAATGTGCATATGCCCTTCAGGGCTCTTTGACTAAAGCTCATCAAATGAGCTTTAATTAAAGCATCTCACAGCCATTTTTAAACACAAGGGGGGTTAATACACATGATGCTGCAGTGTTTTAATTAGAGCAGCTCTCCAGGAACCTATCGAATTAAAATGCCTGACCCACCCCTGAGCACATGTATAGGTACTCTTTTTCTCCCAGCAGTAGTGACAGCCTGGTTTTTCACTTGGTCACAGCATTGAGGTACTACACATTTTGCAGCTGTCTGCTGTTCTAATAAGTCATTTGTATTGTAAAACTCATGCACTCTACAGTGGGGGGCACTGTGTTTGGTTCAGTGAATAAAAGAAAAAAATGATGTGATAAGAGAAGTAGTACAGCTTGGGAGAGAGGTTTCAGTATGACAAGAAAGGAGAAAGAAAACATAAGAGAAAATAATATACAAAGAGGGGGAAAAAAAGAAAGGATGGAAACTTAATTGATAATACTAAAAAACATAAAAGAAAAAGAAGATACGAGAACAGTAAAACAGATGTAGTAAGTAGGATTAGTCAAACAGTATTGACAAAATACATTACTTAATTTTTGTACATACATATTAGTTAATGCTGATAAAATACATCACATACATTCAAAAATATTTTCTGCTACACAAGCTTATCAGTTAAATAAAAGTGAGTTGACAATACAATTATAAATAGTAAATTATAAGTTTTATTCCTTCAGAATTGCAAGGGCAGTAGCAAAGTTTTTTCATATTTGTTAGTAAACTGGATTACAGAATTCAGGTAAAACTTTCTAGTCCTATTTTTCAGAGCCCAGTATAGCTGTTTAGTATTGTCACCTTCACATATCATTTAAGGGCCCATGATAAGATTAAAACTTTTATAATTACCTGGCCTCTGATGTCTATGTCAGCATATTTATGGAGCAGGGCCCTCACAATTTCAACATGACCGCCTCTAACAGCACCAATCAGCACAGTGTCGCCACTCTGGAAGTAAAATATATAAATGCTTAGAAGCTAGGAGTGAATTTTCACTTATTAAAATTAAACACATCGTCTGCTTATATACCATGCTGTTTGTGTTTGTATGTATGCACACATATACGTATAAATATAAATATATACACACACACACATTTGGTTACTATATGAGTAACCAGTAACCAAATAGTGTGCGTGTGTGTAGCATTATGAGCAGTTTACTCCAGTTCACTCTCATCACTTTATTTTGGTGATGTGGTAAACAAAACTGTTTGCATCCATTTTTCCCCAACTGTATCTACAGAGAAGAGGTCATTTAAAATAAAGCAAAAATGTTAGAAAAAATGCAGGCTAAGAGCATAACTTAAAAGGACCACATCCAACAAAATGTATGCAACCACAGAAATAACCAAGCAAAAATAAATAAGCAAAAACTGAAACAGTAGAGCCAGCTACGCAGAACAAATCTATTAATGGTATTTTCTATGAATGGTTCAAGAGGTTAATAAAGCTCTCTCATTGCAGATTAGTGTTTTTTTGCTGTCTTTCCTTTTAATAAGTAAAACACACACACACACACACACACACGGCTGATTCTGATTTCAGTTATTCCAACTAAATCGGGATTACTTCTATATGTAACAGGAGGGCCCCTCTACCATGTGCAGGTAAAGGTGCAATAGGATCTAACACTAGATCCACACAATCGTGCCTCCTGCCATGAGCTGCAATTGTGGGATCGCACATTAGATCCCATCACACCTTATTGCCAGTGCCAGAGGGAGCCTGGGATCACAATCTTAGGCTCCCCCTGCATCGGCTTCCACAGCTGATGGGGCATACCGCCCCCCACTGAGAGCCCTCTCAGCCGCAAGACTTATACTGGGCACTATGGGGTTCACAGAAGGGGCAACGGGGAGAACAGCCCCATGGTTGCATTCCCTGTGCTGCAAGCTCCACACCAACAATGCTTGCAGAGGTGGCGTTCTCTCCACTGCAAGATCTGCTGCTGACAAGGCTCACAGTGAGGACAACTCCAGGAATGCTGCTGCCGTTGCAAGCCTTGTCAGCTGCGAGACTAGCAGTGGCTGCAGCATGGAATGAAGAGAACCTGTTGGGATCAGGGATCAGCTCCTAATCCTGCCATCATGATCCTGGGATCCCTCTCTGCACTGATAAGTCAGGTACCTGAAAATCAGTGATCATCAGCTGGCTCCGAAAACCCAGTAGCCAGTTTGAGCCCCCATGTGGTCCCTGGAGCCGGCCAATAATAAGCTGATGGTCAGCAGATCTGGACCTCCCCAGGGCTTGAGCCTTGGGCCTGTCCACGCTAGCCAATGTTCAGCTGATCAGGATGGTCCTCAGGCTCAAAACCAGAACTATCTTGGTCTGCCATCAGCTGGTAGGGACTGCCTAGGGCTCAAGCCTGGAACAGTCCCTGCCAGCCAATGATCAGCTGATCAGCCACATATGATTTAATGCATGACAGAAACCAGCTATAAAATTATTATCTAAAATATGGTACTGTATGAATTTTGTGAAGTAACTTTGTAGCTGGTTTCCTGTTTTATTGTACCATTAACCCCTAGAACATGTGGCCGGTTTATACTTTAAAGACATAATTAACTGTTTAATCGCATCGTAAATATAACATCTGCCAGGGGCCTACGGACACAGAGAAAATATATGTGATCAATAAAGTAAAAGTTAAATTAATCACTTGTTTAAGGCAATGAAGGGTCTGAATTTCACCAAGTTTCCCCTCATAGAAGAAAGTCTTGACTTAAGTGTAAGGATTTAATGAACAGTTGTAAGTATTTAAATAAGGCGTACTCATGTTTGCTATGCACAATTTTAAAATCCCCCTCCATGTGGTAACCTGGCTTAACCTGCCAGCACTGCAGATATATTAAATACATATTGTACCTTGTTGGGGACTTCCTTTTTGTGGGAGGATACTGCCAGTGACTAGACTAATCAAGAATCTAATAACTTAAGAAACCATTTTTTGAACATAATTGTATCCGACAAACAGGGAGAACCAATCAGAAGGTTTAAGAAATCAATTTATGTTGTGCCCCAAAAGTTAGGTGTTTATCAGTGAGCAAAATAAGTGATATTTTAGTATTTAACCAAAAAAAAAATCTTAATATTCAATAGAATAAGTTAATCTTTAACTCGTCTTGTCAAGCTCCAAGACATCCCAACTTATAAACACAGGATTTTGGTTACTATTTTTTCTACTGGAGTTTTTCTAGCTAAATTCCAACATGACTTAATCTTTGGCTACAACAAGAACCACTAGAAAAGTGGCTTGGTAGCAAGACAACTTCCCTGTTGTAAGTTACTCATCATGATCTTTACCTGAATTTCAGATTGATTCTAAGCATCTTGATGTACTCATTTTACCAACACACTTTTATATGTAGCCCATGTACTTTGTTCCAGAGCTAGAAAACCATGCTTATGGATAAGATTTATTTCCAACCTTTACAGCTTGTGAGGTATCAGCTGCTAAATTTCTATCGCTATAAAAAATGAGAAAAGGCTAGCCAACTTTCCAGAAGGTGGTGGTAGAAACAACTTGGAAGCTACTAAAATGCTTTCAGGAGCAGTATTTTTCCCCCAAGGTACTTGCCCTGAAAACTGATCAGGGGGTTGTGGGGGAGGTGATGTATTAATCTGCTTTTAAATCAAAAGGCCAAAAAAAAAGACATTTTAGATGCAGAAAGGAGAGAAGAAAAGCAACTAATCTGGACGCAGAACTTATTTCAAAAGCATCAAGGACAGAAGGGATCATTAAATAGGTTTAAAGTTATATACTCAAATACACATTTGTAAAAATTATCACTTATGCTCTGTAGTTTCAAACTTCTGTCAAAAGTATTAACAAATCTGCACAGTCATTAAATACTGTCCTCTTCTTATTGATATGAAAAGAGACACAAATATAAGTGAATTAGCAACAGGACCAGAATTAGAACTCGGGGAATAATAAAATATAGAATAAAAATCAAACTTAAAGCATCAGCTCCTTGGCAACCTTCTGTAATCTTATATAATGCCAGAAGGAACTTCTTTGGCTTTGTTTTTTCTTATAGCATGCTGGGAAACAAAAAAACTGAATTTATTTAAAAATCATAAACAGATCTATCACCTGGGACAAAAAACAAAAAACAAGGAAAAATATAGTACATGTGAATTTATATACACTGGTGTACAGTACATGGTAATTCAGAGTAATGCAACATGCACACATCTAGCATCATAGCTACCAGTGGAGCACATACTAACCCTATCAGGAATGTTCACATATGTTCCAGCATCAAGGAGATCCTGCACAATTTCTGTGTGACCCTCCTTCGATGCAATCATCAAAGCTGTATTTCCATCTTTATCGGTTAAATTCACATTTGGGTTCCTCTTCAGAATTTCCTTTACAGAGTCAGTGTAACCACCTTTTACTGCTACAATAAGTGCAGTCATAGAGTTCTAGAAAAAAAAGGGACAGACAGACCAAAATTATTATACACTAGATAGAAAACTAGCTTTGTTTTGTTGTCGCCAATAGTTCACTTGGTTTAATTTTTACAATAGAAACCGCAGTCAGTTTATATTGTAAACAACATAGGCACAGTTTAAGATGGAAAAAATAGTTACTTACAGCCCCTTCTTGGTCAACATCAGCTCCCATCTGCAACAGGTACTTTACACACTCCAAATGACCCTTCCTTGCAGCCCAAATCAGTGGTGTGGTTCCATACTACAAACAAAAATTAACTAATTAAAATCAAGCTAATTAACATTAACTATTAACTGTTTCAAAGAAGTTAATATATGCAAGCTAGGTGACCATCAAGGTCTGGACAAGCATGGATGACCTTGCATTTTGTAACACCTTGTATTTTATCACTCTTGTCTCCCTCTGACCCCTTTTTTTCCCCCTTCTTCCCCCTGCTCTCTCCCCTCTCCCGCTTTACCTTTTGTCTTGCTTATCTCTCTACTCATTTACATTTTCACAGACATCCTACCACACTTTTAGCTCCTCTCATTCCTTAAAGTCCCAAACCAGCAAAGACTCCCTATGCCTGATGAATGGTGATTGCACCCAAAAGCTTGCTATGAACTTTTTCCCCAACTACTCAATTGGTCTAATAAAAGATATCACATGTAACCAAAGAACCTTGCCTGCCTGAATCTCGTTTACTCACCTTTGGCTCTCCCCCCCCGCCTCATTTTTACCCCCTCCCTTCCCTATCCTACTTTTTATTTTCCTAATTTCCACCTATTTACATTCTCACTGACATCCATCCTGTCACACTTTTAGCTTCTTTCATTCCTTGGAGTCTCAGAACAGCAGGAACTTCCTATGCCTGAAGAAGGGTGATTGCACCTGAAAGCATGTAAAGATTTTTTTTCCAACTACACAGTTGGTCTAATAAAAGATACCACATCTACCCAAAGAACCAGCTAAGCAAATCACATGTAGCAACAATCATGATAATATACAGCACAGATCAGTAAACCATCATCTCTTTCCAGTGCTACTGGTAAGTAGACTAACTAGATTAAAGCTGATACATGCAGGTTTACTCCATGTATAATCACACCTTATCTTGAGCAAACAACATATTCTAATACTAGTTTAGCACGTTTCCTACTGGCTCAGATGAGAGGGAGCAAGCAACCAAGTGAGGCTCATATAAGCACAAGTGTTTAACAGTCCTTATGATCATTCAAAACATTGGGCGCTCTTTGAGACTGCCAATGGACATGAGATAGGAACTGAACCAAATATACAACAACCTTTCTGTATCCTCCTCAAACAGCCATCAGCTGGTAATAATGTCTGACTGTGATGGTACATCCTCACCAACATGTCTCCAGTGATCCCAAAGAAGAATGACCTCAACTACCCACTCCTACTTACATGTGCCAAGCCCTGAAATGCAGCAGAAAGGCCACTCCATGTCAATCCCCCTCCTGCTTTTAAGCATTCCAGAGAGAGCTCTTGAATGCTGTTACAGGGGGCACAACCAAAGCAGTTTCACAGCTGCATTTCTGGATTTGGCACATTTAAGCAGATCCTCCCCTCAGAGTGCCCAGGATACAGCACAGGTACACCATGAACAACCTGTTCTGAATACAAACAGTTCAAATAAATATAAAAAAAATTCAGGTTATTTTAATTTACCATCAATACATTACAAGAAGTACCTGTAGTTAGCAACCAGGGATTTTTTTTAGTAAACTAAGAAAAGTTTTCCATGTTTTCATGCAAGACTTTTGTTGTTATATAAACCTGATGTTTAGCAATCCGTGACAGGTACCTATTAGTTAGAGAACATTAAGGTAAAGAACTGTTGAAAATATAGCTTTCACCTGATTGTCTGGTATATGATTTGTAAAGCCACAAGGCTCTAAATCGAGAAAAGCAACTAAACATTTAACTTTCCATCATGTGAACAGTACAACTGACTTCAAGAAGACTATATCAACACTAAAAATGAAATGTGCTTACGGGCTTTAATGGATCAGAAATTAAATCGTTTCCAACTCACCTATGTGAGAAATCACCTCTTTTCTCAAGGAACATTGCCTAAGCTTAACATAACAGGAACCATAAACTGCCACCTTGCTTTACAAAGACTTTTTGAGAAATACTTGACTATTTAAGTTCCCCTTCTACTCTTAGAGTGAAGAATATAAATGTCAGGGTATGCTTCAATAGGCATCTATTTTTTCAGGCCTTTCAAGAAGTCTGTTAAGTAGTATGGCTTGTACAGGGAGAAAAAATATTTTCAGCTTACATGGGAGAAGCATGTTGTAAAAAGTAGCTAGCCCTCACTGGTTGATTGTTATTGAATCATTTACATTCTTTTTATATTGTGCCCCACTCTGTCTCTAAATAATTCAAGCTTTTCAAATAGCTAGCTAATCCATACATTTAAGTTATTTCACAATGTTATCTTTATTCACTATTTAGACATTTCTCTTTAGTGATAAAAGCAATAAAATGGAGATAGCCTCATTCCCTCTCCTGTCAGCAGCACATGAACATATATAAATCTGAATTATTTTGGGAGATGCATTGCAGATCAGATTGAACATTATGCTCATTTATTTAACCTGAGGGTGTGTTTTCATGTCATCTCACAAGGCATTTGTTTTAGTACAGTGATCAGCTAATCTATTACAGAGCTAGACTTCACAAGATAAAACAGCCACATTTAAAATGCTTATGATTTTAACTCCTTTTATCATAATCATAGATTTCTGTATGCTGGATTTATATGTCAAGGCATTTTATGTTGCACCACTCCTGAACAATTTAAGATATCTATAGAGAGACAATGTGTTAGGTAATCAATGTTCATCACCACATTAAAAATTGTCTTTAGTACATTACCAATCTTGAACTGCATAGTATGAAACAAGAAAATATACAAAGGTTCCTTCATCTATGGCAAACTGATTCTAACCTTATAGGAAAAAAAATTATTTTAAACTAAAAACTTACCCTAAAATATAACCAGAATATATTTTAATGAATTTTGAAACTCTTGAATAAATTATATTTTACTGGAAAGCAAATCTGGATATTGCATTCCAAATATTTTCCTAAACCCTTGGTACTCAAAAAACCCCACATCTAACATATTAAATTAATATACTAACTAAATAAGCATAACTTACTTTGTCAGAGCAGTTCACTTTAGCCCCATGTTGCAGTAAGAGTCGTACTATATCTGAGTGACCTCGTCCTGCTGCCCAAATGACAGGATAAACACTGTATTGCTTATATGAAAAAAAAATACAAAACAGTTAAGCCATGTGAAATGAAAACATTCATTGATAACTCTACTTTATCTGCATATTAAGAAAATATCTGTCAAAATATTTTGGACTTGAGAAAACGTGAAAGGAAAAGGGCACAAAATTAAACGCACCGGCTATATTTCAATAACTGTCAACAATGAAATAGCTTAACAGGTGTTGGGAAGTTATTTGGTCACAACTAATCTTTACAAACATTTAAATGGTCACATTAGGACACTACACTATTAATCTGGACTCTCAGTTGTAATACAGACGAGCAACCAAAAAAACAAACAAACCAACCACCCATCCAAAAAAAAAAACACCCAACAAACATATCAATGGATTTATTTAAGATTCTTGGTGACTACAATTCCATAATAATACCTACACATATAGAAGACAAAATAGATCTCAAGTAGGTAACATTGTAATTATTCTTCAACTATGTGTATGTGCCATACAATTACATAACCCAGACAATTTGATAATTATTTTTTCTATAAAACAAGAGATTAATTAAATAAACATTTATACAATACATTACAGATGAAGTAATTAAAATTTAATTAAACAAACTTCCACATGGCTTACTACACACAATAATTACTGAAACATTCTTAACATCTTCCTGGTGATGATAACCTTACCAAAGATCTATAAAGATCAATGGATTTCAATTAAAAATAGTGACTGACATATTCTTAAAAACAACAACTACTTTATTACTACAAGATTCAGTGTATAAGACTCAGTTTCTAGCAAAATACTACTGCATAATTCAAGTTTTTGTGCATCCCACCACTTTTCGCGAATTAGGCCTTACCAGCCCCGTGATGTTTGGATTTGATCCCTTCTCAAGAAGAAGCTCAGCTACTTCAGTACGACCTTTATAGGATGCCCACATTAAAGCTGTCCATCCTCCCTGGAGAATACAGTACAGAAAAACAGTAAAGACTGGAAAAATATCACTTATTTAAATTCATACCTATTCATTTCCTTTAATTGTATAACTGTACTGGGACTTCTTTTAACAAGTCCAACAAACAGTAGCAATCTATGATCCTGTCTTGTGATCTTAATAATCAAATATGTAAAGCTAGCCTAAGTTTTGCTGCAGAGTGCAAAGAGAAAAAAAATTCTCCTAATCTGTATTATGAAATTTGCAAACAAAAATTCAGACCTCAAACAAAAGCAGCACCTTATTTAACTGAAGGATTAAGTATTTCTATTACGGATCACAGAAGTAGGGAAAACCACCACCTATTTTACAGTTGGCTCACTAAAAAAAGGTCACTGTGAAACTACTGACAAAGTCAAATGAACTGCTGTAAAACCCTAAACAGATTTCAGCAGTGTGTTTGTGCCTTGGATGCGTACAGTTCTGCAAGGAAAAAATAAACAGCTGTTACAGTCCAGAGCACTTACATTAGCAACAAAAAAGTAATTTTTACTGTAACTACCACTCCCAGCAAAATCAAAACCTAAAACATACAAACAAGGTAAGTGTTGCTTCTTTAGAGCAGAACTGTAAAAAAAATTAAACAAGATTCTACATTTTGAAACACTGACCATGCAATAAATTATCTTCATTGTTTCACACAGTTTAAAGTTAACAAGTCCATATATGCCTCCTATTAAAGAACTATATTCCACTTTAGAATGAGAAAGACACAAACCATATCCCGGTGCTCCAAATTAACATTACAGTTGAGCAGTTCTGCTACAATATCTACATGTCCTTCCTTGGATGCCGAAATAAGAGCTGTCCAGTTATCCTACAAAAAAGAGTAAAAGATGTAAAATGTTTGAAACATCCTTAACAGCACTTCCAAAAGACAGAGTGTAAAATATTTATGTACCAGGTAACTATCCCAGTGCCCACCTGCCACGCAGTGGTTTGCTTACGACAATGAAGTATCTTTCTAAGTAAAAACCACAAATGAATTAAATATTCAACTCATGACACTTGATATAAAATTGTCTGTTATGTTAAATGTCACACTGTGCTGTATTCATAAATGTGAGACCTTTTTTGCAAACAAATGATTTCAACATCCTGATAAATTAACCAAGGGGTTAAAAGATGGCTTAAACTAATATTTACTGAAATTTAACAGACAAAGCTAACTAAAATACTCATTTTTATTACTCTCTCACAAGTTTACACTTAGCTTTGCCATAACTGCAGCATGGAAATTATTTCGTTCTGTGTAGTTAACAACCAACTTCTTTCTAATGATAGTTATTTTCTAACCCCTTCATTTCAGTACAGCTTTTACCACTGAAAATATTTTTCATCTTCTTCTGCGCCAGCACTTTTCTAACTCATTTCTCCCTCTTGACTACAATTTTTATTCTCTTTCATCATCTGCTCAAAGGGGTAGCATATCAACTGTTTTCAATTATGGGTCTCAAAAATTTCTCACAAGCAAAAGAAACCAGAAATACAACTCATCCATCAAATAATTCTTCTCCGGTTCTGAGCTGTATTGGAATTCTCCTCCTTCTATATGTGTGCTTGTAACAGCATAACATTTAATAATACTGCCCAAGAATGGCCAGATACTGTATTTACTTGATTTTTAGACAAGGTTTTTCCCATTTAACTTGGGAGGGAAAAGCTCCTTGTCTTGGAGGGGATAAGCAGGGGGGTGGGAAGAGGAAAATGGGCAGCAGGGAACAATCTGCCAGCCCCATTACTGGCACCCCCACCTGACCCACTACCACTGCTTTCCCCACTACAGTGGCAGTGATGAATTTAAGACGATCCTTCAATACTTAGATTCTATACACGGAAAACTAGAAATACAGTACACAACTGCCTTGGCTCCAGCTCCAATTCCGTAATTCATCAACCTCTTTTTTTTTCAGCTCACCTGTTGCAACTCACATCTCCATATCCTCTAAAATCTTATTTCTTCAGAACAAACAGTTGCCTGTCTGTGTAGCTTTTTACATATTTAAAGTAGTATTAATGAGAGGAGTGATGCAGTTAAAGCTACCTATTCATTTCAGAATTCAATTCCAAAGCTTTCTATTCTTGCTTTTGAAACCCTCTTCTAATCTGCTTCTTTCAGTACTCAAGTCCTCTGTTTTAGGGCTGTATATAAAAGTTAAGTAGAGGCAACCCCCGCTTAGTGCTCTTAACTGGTTCCTGAAAAACTGAGCATTAAGCGAAACGAGCATTAAACAAAACCGAAAGTATGTGACTACCCAAGACGGCAACTGCAATTGTTTTTAATGAACCAAGATGGCAACCGTGAGCATTATAATGAAACTCACTAAGCGCTAAGTGAAATCAGGTATCAACTTAAAATGAGCATTATAGCAAAATAGTGCTAAGCGAAACAGCGTTAAGCGGGGGTTGCCTGTACCTGTTTAAACTCCTCTAATGTTATCAGTTAAACGATTAACCAATAACATACATCTACCAGGTACTGCCCCCCTCCATATTCACTTGTTCTCCAGGTGGCTGCAGTGGACTAGGAAAGCCCTCACCTGCTGCTGCTGGCTATGACTTTATGGGGCTGTGGAGGGGCTCACTGTTGCTGCCTGCAGCAGGCCCCAGCCCCCAGGCAGTTGTGCATCAGTGGCATCAGCGGGCTGGAAAAGACGTTTCTTTGCTTCTGCCACCAGCGCGCAGCTGCTTAGCGTTGGCTGCAGACAGCAGCGCTGAGCCCCAGCACAGACTATCAAACCACAAGAGGCAGCAGCAGGCTGGGAAAGCCCTGTACCCACTGCTGCTGCTGGCACCCGGCTACCCAGGGGATAAAGCAGCAAGCAGTTGCACCAGGGTCTGTGAGCCCGTCCTGGCTCATTTCCAGCAGCAGTTGCATGCCTCATGGTGAAGCAGCTGCGAGAGGCCCAATACTTTCTTATGGCAGCGCAGCCCTGGCCCTTTCCCCACCATCCATCCCAAGGCACGTGTGCATCTGTAAATGCCAAAGAGCTGGGCCAGGGGGCTCCAGACCCCAGTGCAGCTGCGTGCAGCCTCCCCATTGCAAGCAGCCCAGGCTCAGTGGTAGGTGGCAGGGGCTGCCTAGAGCCCGGGCTGACCATAACAGGCTGCTGGGAGGCTACAAGCTGCTGCACTGGGGTATGCAGAGCCCCAACCTGATTCATTGCCACTGGCAGGTGCATATGCACCTTGGGGCAGACAGCGGGGAAGGGGTCAGAGCTGCAGTGCCACAAAAAGAATTGGGACCCTCATAGCTCCTATACCATATCCATGCTGCACTAGGTAATAGCCCCACTCCTCATTCCTCCCTCCCTCCTGCCTGCCTAGGTACTAGTCTCCCCTCCACCTCTCCCATCCTCCTTCCCTCCTGCCTGCCCACACCACTTCCCTCCCCCCAGTATTACCAGTTATCAAAATATGTGAACAGTTAAACGTTTATAAACATTTAACCATTCACATCCCTACTCTGTTTATAAAGCATTACTCTGAATCTTTTTGTTTCTTGTTACAGCTGGTAAGAGGTCTCTCCTCTGTAACTTCTACTATCTTGAATAAATCTTTTTCTCTCTACCTCAGTCATTCTCCATCTTTTTCAAGCCATCTTAATATATCTTCTTCATCCATACCTTAAGATTTGTTTCTTATTCTGATGGCATATCACTCTATACCCTGTTCTTCCAGTAGGTATGTAAAGCATTTTGGGATACAGCATGAAAGACATTATCCAGTACAAAATTACACTGGACCGTTAAATGCATAGACTTTCATGGCAGAATACGTTTACAAATAAAAAGTAACCAAAAGCTGCTACAGCTGTATACTATTACAGCTGAGGACCCAGTGTAGAACAAGTAAAGAGAAGATGCTTGTGGATCAATTACAGTGGCACACATTTACAATTTTACTTCAAAATTTACACATATCCAAGATGTCTCTGAATTTAAAATGAGCCCCTAATAATTAGATTCTATACATGGAAAATTTATAACATGTCAATAATTTTACATGTACAAGATCTAATTATTGGCACCTGCCATTGCCCCAAACGCCTAACCACTTGTGCCACCCTGCTGCCTGCTCCTCCCGAGTGTTTACATCCTATGCCTACCCCTCCCCCCCCATTTTGCCTGCCCTATTGCTGCAAGAGCTGTCTGTGCCCCATGCGTACTCGCATCCAAGATGAGGGGCTTCTGCCCCCCATGTTAAATGAGGGGAAAAAACCTTGCCTTGGATTCAAGTGAAGATAGACTGACCCAAGCTCAATCACAAAGTCACATCATTTAAGAGGAGTGGTACAGTGCAGACCTATATTATATTTCAGAGCCAGTGTCTCCAGTACAAAATATGGGATGAACTTGAAAAATAAAAATGATGCTAATACTTACGGAGTCTTCCAAGTTGCAGTTAGCTCCCTTCTTAAGCAGCTCTTGGACAATTTCTAAATTGCCCTGCTCGGCAGCCAACATTAATGGAGTCTGACCATTCTGAAACCAAATTATAGTTTTAAGTAAACTACTTAGACAACATATATAAAACGCACACGCACACCACCTGAAAAGTTCCAATATCTACAAAAAGTGTCAAGCTCAGTTCACATAGTTTTAAGCTTTAAATATTTGAGTAACACTACTAACATATTCAAACTTCTTCTTTACACATGCAAAAAAATTTTCGTGACAAGAAGAAAGGACAACATAACATTCAGTCTTGCCATTCACTAGGAATACTCAAACCACAGCATGCAGGCCAGATCTACTGCTGCTACCCTTTACCCATGCTGCTGTTTGCTATTGCTACCAACCACCACAAGCAGTGAATCCAGTGGTGAAAGAAGTGGTAGCTGCAATAAGGGTGGGGGAGGAGCAGGGAGGATTGGGATGGCAGCACACAGTAGGATCTGATGGGTCTGCTGGAGTTACTTTGTTTGAGGATCTTCAGGAACGTGTAAAATGTTCTTGGGATGGGAGAGCAGGGGATTAGTACAAACATTTTTCCTAAGGCTGGTATTAAAAGGATTTGATAATGCTTTCAATTGAAGGACAAATACTGTTGCGGGGTCCTCTGTAAATTTTTTCATTACCATTGCTGTCAGAGTTGTCTATTAGCCTCACTGGTCATAGTTAGGGACCTACCCAAATTCAGGAGGCAGGCAGCCAATTTCACCAGCAGACTGCTGGGCTGGCCAGCATTTTCACAGGCTTGTTTTAGCAGACCTCCCCCCCCACACCTCCAACTGATTATGGGGGTCCAGTGGCCCTGCCCCTTGCTACTGATTGGCTAAGAGGGCTGTCCATCATGCAGTCCCTCACTGACTGAGTTCCCCAGTGAAGATCCACCATTTTATTATTTTCAGTAAGGGTTTGGGTTTTTTGGGGTTTTTTTTTTTGACAGCAGCACTAAACATTGACAGCATATGAAGACTGAGCCCACCAGACCTTCACACTTATGTTTGGTGGGTG